CACCAGCCTGCCTATAAGAATATACCTCTAGTGCCACTGCGCCACATGGGGTTTGGGCCAGGGGTCCATCTCACCATTCTCCAGTGCCTCGGGCTCTGTTTACAGCTGGTATTAAGATGCGTTTTGGTCGATCAGATCCCAAGTAGACAAGGGAGACACATTCCCTTTTACACCTGGTAGTTTCTTTTGTCCACTTTCAACCACTTCTGTCCTGATTTCTTCGAGGGGATGGTCTATGGGTGAGTAAATGTATGGGCTTTATCAGATCTTTCGATCTAAAGGACAAAATAAGCAAATGAATGCGCCCGGAGACGATGGAAAAACATACGGAGAGCATCAGCTTTCGTTTCTGATCTGACAGCCGCAAGGCCAGCCGAACGCTGTGAGTGTTTGTTAGAAATCAAGAATGGTGAGAGAACATTGTGCTGGGTTCGTTTTTTGTCTTCAAACCAAACTTTCAGTCGACAAAGTTTAAATCCCGTCTGGCTAGTGCGCTTCCCATAATAAAAATATGTAACACAGAACAGATAACGTCAAATACGTCTGTTAAACTTTCATTTTGGAACTATTTTTCAACCATGACGGGACATGTCGGAGGGATGTCTTTTCAACGGTCATTAAACGTCCAAACGTTTGCTGGGTATTGTCATGCCCCGCAATGTTTTAAGAGGAGTGAGGCCAGTGATGCTTCTGGGTGCTCAGTACAGAGTGGTTACAGTTTGCAAAATGTTGAAACTGTTTTGGGGTGTTACAGTTGATACAATTGCATACCAGTGTGCAGGAGAGGAGCCGCCATATTTGGTTACCAGCCACTTTAGCTAGTTCGTAGCATCACCATTATTTAAGGCCATATCGGTAGAGGAGATTTGTGCAGAAGCTAACTGGGCCTACTCTCATACTTTGGTAAAGTATTTACTGACGTTACGTCACCACGCCTAATGTCACTCACTTGGGCTCAATCCCAATTCACCCCTTGCCCCTACCCCTTGGCCCTACCCCTCCGTTTTGCGCGTTCACGTCAAGGGGTAGGGTGTCCCGATTCTTGTTGAGATCGAGGGGTAGGGCTACATACCCCTCGAAACGGAGATTTTTCAGAGGCACACTCCAAACGGAGGGCTACGAGAAAGTTCGCAGAATACATCGCGAATCACCGGTGAGATGGCTTCACAAACGGTTAAACATTTAAATTTAGCGCCAAATGACACCACCGTGCACTTTATTTACTCTTATAATAATGATATAGTCATTTAAATTAAGAAATTGTATAATAAATTACCTTTCCGAAACAGAAAAGACATACATTTCGAGGCAGGAACGTTATAAGCATCATGTTTCCTCAAAGTTAAGAGCATCTGCGCTGATTGTCAGTCGTTGTCATGGAGAAATCCTGTAAAAACTCCGTAACGGCAGAGCCATCGCCGACGACTGATGACGTATCGGGTTCATGAAGGGTTGTTCCATTTCGTATGGGAATATTTCAACCCCTTGGCCCTTGTAACTCTGTTTTAAGGGCCAAGGGGTACACTCGAAAACAAGGGGTAGGGCCAAGGGGTGAATTGGGATTGAGCCTTGGTCTTACGGGCAGGTAGTACATTTTCTGGACATGAATGAGCATTATTCTATATATCCTTATTTAAAATTCTCCCATAGAGTGGTCTGTGTGTAAAGGACTTGACTGAAAGAGAACATTTGCTTACTTAGTGTAACTCTCAAAGAAAGGAGAGAGACACAGACTAGGGGTTCCTTGCAACTCCCCTTCTCTTCTCCATTTGCATGTCATCACTAGGATCTGTCTTTCAGAAACATGTTTTTTCCTGTCACTGCTACGCTGATGACACACAACTCTTATTCCAACCAGAGGATCCGACGGCTCGCATCTCAGCCTGCCTGACAGACATTTCTTGCTGGACGAAGGACCACCACCTTTAACTAAACCTTGCGAAGACAGAGTTGCTTGTGGTTTCAGTCAACCCAACACTACACCACAACTTCTCCATTCAGTTAGGTTCGTCATCCATAACTCCATCAAGGTCAGCCAGGAAGTTGTGATTGATGATCAATTGAACTTCACAGACACATTGCTAGATCTGCCCGGTCCTGCAGATTTGCCTTATACAACATTAGGAGGATCAGGTCCTTCCTATCAGAGCTACACAACTCCTTGTCCAAGCGCTTGTTCTATCCAGACTGGACTATTGTAATGCTCTCTTGGCAGTTCTTCCAGCATCACTGTCAAACCTCTGCAACTGATACAGATGCTGCAGCAAGTGTGTATTTATCAAGCCGAAGAGACACACGTCACAACTCTCCTCACAACATTGCACTGGTTGCCAGTTGCCTCTCCCATCAAATTCAAGTCACTGACGTTTGCCTATAGAACAACCACTGGCTCTGCTCCCTTTTACCTTAACTCATTACTCCAGACTTACGTGCCATCCAGAAGCTTGCGTTCGGCAAGTGAACGTCGCCACCTTCTCAAAGAGACATAAAATTACTTTCACTGACCTTTTCCTTGATTGTTCCCTGCTAGTGGAATGATCTACCTAACTCAACCCGAGCTGCTGAGTCCGTAGCGATTTTCAAGAAACGGCTGAAGACGCATCTTTTTCAGCAACACTTGATCCATTAATGCTTACGCTTTCTTTTCTCTTCTCTTCTACTCTATTTTTTTTTTAAAAATACATAGACTGCATTAGACTAAACTGGGAAGGGTCACAGCACATATTGTTGTCCTATTGTTTAACTGCTTCGATTGCTCTCCTCATTTGTAAGTCGCTTTGGATAAAAGCTTCTGCTAAATGATTAAATGTAAAATGTAAATGTCACTCCAGCTCGTCTTTTAGAGCTTAAATGTTCTGAATGATAATTGGGTTGCTGGTCGACTAAAGGCCCTGACACACCAATCCGATGGTTGGACCATCGCTGACCACCGGCTGGCCCAGTTTTTGCGATGTGTTTCGTACTCTCGGCACAAGTTGGACATGGTCGGGGGTATTGTCATGATTCTGCCATGTCCTTGTATTCTTCTAGTATTGTGGCAGGATCATGACAGACCCATGTTTTATGTACAAGTGCATGGTCTATTGTTTGGGTCATGTGCTTGTGTTGTCTTGTCTCGTAACCCCGCCCCCTTGTTATCCTTGTTTAGTCATTATTGCCTTGTTAGCGTCACCTGTTCCCCTCGTTTGTTTCTTGGTATTTAATCCCCTTGTGTTTGCTGTCTTGGGTCGGTTCATTGCCTTATTGATGCTGAATGTTGTCGAATCTGTCTATGTTGCTATACCTTGCCATTTCTTACCCGTGAGTACTTAGTGTAGAGTCTTGTCTTTGTGAACGTTTATTTGAAGAATTGTCAGTTTATTGTACAGTCATTGTCTAGTCTAGTCTGCCATCCATTCCTTGTCCTAGTCGTGTTTTGCCCCCTCGTGGGTTTTGTTTTCCTGTTTTGTTCCAATAAACCCCCTGTTCGTTGCACTCTGTCTGTTTTGGGTTCATCTCCTTTCATCCACGTAACAGGTATTTTGGCCAAAGAGCATGTTGAATTGGCGTCGGCGTTCAGCTTAGTGTACGAGCCAGTGCATGAGGATAAAAGTGAAAGTGATGATAATGAGCAAAGAAGGCAAGACGGCACAGACAGAAGGAGATTGTCATTTTACCTGAGCATTCAGAAGAAAGTGATCAGCATGATTTATAATCAAAATGGTAAGCAAGCGCTGCTTTGCTTACGCTTTGTATTTCTGCAGTCCTAGCTTTTCGAATGACAAATATAGACTGTTGATACCTACTGATACAGACAGTTATTTCCTTACATGCTGGAGCAGAAGACATGTGCTAGTTGATATTCACCTGTGGTCCCTTTGGTGTGTCCAAGCGCAGCTTTTGGCCGCGACACAGCCGACGCAAGGCGACAACACAGTCAGCTTTCAACGCCGCTAGTTCTTTTACGTCGGCTTGGTGTGTCACGGCCTTAAAGCTCAAAATTCTCAATCCTTTCATCCAGAGAACCAAGGTTAGATGTTGTTATGTGGAAATGAGGAAAAGGTCATTGGTCACACGAAAGTATACCCAAGACTGCCTCCAATCATTTCAAAACTTACTGGATGTTGTCGAAGCATTTGGTAGTCTTAAAAGGCTTCAGATTATAAATGAAATATATGTAAATATCTGCACATGTGTGCTTTTGAATTGAGGGTGATGTTATGTCTTGATATAGCTTGTGGGATGTTTTTGAATTCCCTGCCATTGCTTTCTAGCCTGGCTGCGCCCTCCTATGCACTTCCGGTCAATTTCATTTTCCTTCAGTACTACGTCTGGGATTCTGCTGTAGACTTTGGTTTTCTCCGATCAATTCTTTGTAGGGCCAATCAGCGAACAGAGGGAGTGGCTGAGAACGATGACGTCGTGCGTTATTTTGAGTTGTAGTTCAGTAATGGCAGCGGAGAAAGATGCGAGCGAAGCCATTCGGTCCGTTGTAGCAACGCTGCCGAATATCAAGAAGTTAAAGCAAGAACAATCTTTGCTTAGTTTTGTTTTGGTCATGATGTTGTGGCCCTCCTCCCCACGGGGTTCGACATACATCACGAGCAAACGTTAGCGATTGGTGGCAGATCCAGAGTGACTCTGGGCAGATCCAATAGTTTTAGACTTCAATAGAGTACCCGCCTACAAGGAAGTTAACGATAGTCAATGGAGCGGTGCCAGACTCTCTGTACAAATGAAATGTTCGAGAGTCTGGTAGAACCAGGCTAATTGCTTTCCCCCCGATGGTGATAAATATGGTGGCTGTAAAGATAAAGTCACGTGACTGAGACAGATTCATCCACAATTGTTTTGAATAACAAAAGTAAATCAATTATTGTATTTTGGATGTTTTTCCTAATAGTGTCTTGAAATCCTTTGGTTTTGTCAGTGGTGTGTCTCTGTCCTCATCCTTTATGTCCAACTACCCTGTCTTCCCCTTCTCCATTTCTCCACCATCTGTGTGTCTCTCACCACTGTAGTGGACAGCCTGTACGTGGCCCTTAAGAGTATTGACCGAGTGGACATTGTGAACATGATGGAGGGACAGGGACCACCAACAGGTCAGCAGGGGGGATGGGAGCAAGAGGCTTCCAGGTCTAGGCATCATGAGAGGGACCATCTATCTCCTGCCATTACAAATGGTAAGAGAGAGATATTCCCTTGTGACATTCTACACTTCACTTGTCCCACATAATGCTTTTTTCCCCCCCAAGAGCTGGCTTTTCCTCTCATCCAGTTGATATCTGCTGCTGTATCTTCTGTTCAAACCCTTGTCCCCCTATATTTTGGCCATGAACCTAACATTTCCTCTTCCAATTCTGCTGTCACCAGGACCAGAACTGATGACACCCCTCCAGAACTATGTTATGTTGCCTATCTTTGTAGCTTGTCTAAATGTTTTTTTGACTACTGCAGGGAAATGTTCTCAAACTCTGCAAAGACCTCCTTTGTTCCTTTTAAAGTTGGGGAAATATTTGAGATTAAGGAGATTTGCTTGTGTGTTTTGATAGGACACATTTAAGGGTTGTAACACTATTCGTAATAATTTTATTTTTTACAGTTACAGTTCATTTGTACATTTTAATGTATATTACAAGGGAAAATATAACTTAAGCTCTGACATAATCTGATTTGCAGTTGTTCTAAAAATGGACTTATTTTGTAAATTAATTAATGAAAACATATTTATCCATAAATCTTGTACATCTGTTACAGTTTCGATATAGGCAGCATGTTAGCATGAAAGGATGTGAAAGAATCACGTCATGGCCACTTTTGATTGATAATCTAAAAAAAGATACTGGGAAAACACATAATATAGTCATAGGTTTTCTTATAGGAGTGGAATATTATCAAACTGGTTTAACTTTGGGAAAGCCTTAACACTTGTCTTGGATCACATGTACCTTGTTACCAATCGTATCAAGACTCTGACTTCATAGAAACCGTTCCCGAGTTATAACAGACAGTTACAGTCTAATATTTTCATAGATCATTGGGTGGCAAATGTTGCATCTCCATTATTAACTTCTACTTAGGCAAAACAGCCTTTGGTTTTCCTGTTGGGAATGCGTGTTTCCAACACATTTAGCTCAGAGATTTTTGTCATCACCTGGAGTACGGTCTCTGAATTAACTATTCATAAATGGGGAAGAAGTTCCACCCATTAGAATTATTTTGCTAATCTAAAGTTCTTCCATCTAGAAAACAATATAGATACCTTTACAGCATGCAACAGATCCTGTCAAATACAGCTTAAGTTGTATTTATCCCCAGTTATATAGTCTGTCACATTGCCACGCATTAGCTATCTGATATATGATGATTTGGTTCCTTTTTACCATTGACAAAGGTAACCTATTCAGTATCAGTTCATTCAGTAGCATGCTTCCTGTGTTTTGTGGTACCTTTTAACATACATTTTAAAAGTACAGAGAGATGCACTTATTAAAAACCATCATTAGTGAAACATGTCAGTTCTACAGATGCTGTGAGTGTAAAATCCAGTGCAAAGTATACATTCATGTCACTGGAAGGGATATTAAAAGGGTCATGACATCATTTTTGTTGTATTATTTTACCAGAGGTTCACAATAATGTAAATATCATATATAGTATTTTTAGTAATACATGACAATTCTCCACCTTCTCTATGGCGTTCTGATTTAAAGGTGCTATGATTATGCTTCTTTTCTTTTAAGACTTCAGAGTAAACTCCCATTGTCATGATTGGGAAACATCTTTGCATAGGAAAGTATTAATGCTATGTCATGTAGGTTGAATACATTGCAACAACCACATAACTAATCCATTATTAGTCCAGGCATTTGCTGAAAGCTGAATTTCACAAATTATGTGAAGCATACATATGCAAGACTGAAATAACTTAGAAAACAAAACAATTGACACACTATTAAACGTCAGCTATTATGCTATAAGGCATTAATATGTGCTTTATAAGTACCAATAAACAGCCAATATCATAGTAATATGCATGCTAATAAGCAACTAGTTAATAACGAGAATTGAACCCAAAAATAAAGTGTTGTCGAAAAAATAAGCAATTTATGAAATGGTGCAGAAGAACCTTTGATGTCTATCCCGCTCTCTATACTCACTATACTGTTCATTAGGGAGGAAGTTTTAACAGATTAAGGAAAAGTTTATTTCTCATGTCATGACCCCTTTAAGAGATATCAGATCTCAGAAGGCATTTAGTTCTTACTCAAGGGTATGTTAAGATATATTAAGACAAATGGATGGGTAATAACTGTAATGGAACAGTTTTAAGCAAAGCTTCTTGACTCTGCCATTAGCCACAACCTTTGAAATATTCTGTTTTTAGCAAAATGACATAGGCCACATCACATCAGACACTGGCTCACACATAATTATGATAACTTTACTGCAGTGAGGTGTCTCGTTATTAGATATGCCACTTCTGTGTATTCTTCATTATGCCAGCCCCTTTCGCTGGCAAACACAATGCTTGTGTCTAGTCGCCCCCCCTTACCTGTACATATCGCCATTTTATTAATAAAAGAACTTTCTCGCTTCATTCATAAAGCCTTGTTGAGTATGTATGATGAGGACACCTGTATTGTGACCCCCTAATACAGATCCAAGGGTGTCCATATATGCTCATAAATCAGTTTGGGCCATTAGACTTCTTTTGAAATATACTAGTGCAAAAGTTGATGATTAAGATGCTTAGTGATTAACTTCCCCAGATTTGGCTTTGCCCAATACAAGTACTAAATCAGTTTCGGTTCCCTGTGAAAAGGGTTGCTTGCAGAGAGATGGTCCACACCCTGTGCATGTGAGAGAGAGGCCTGACCCCATGCTGAGACTCTGTGCATGCTCATGATTTGTTTATGCACAGTACCATGGTGGCATCTAGTGGTGGAGCTGCAAGAGATTTTGTGCACTGAACTGTGCGATTGGCATGTGCTGGGACAGCTACTGAGTGACTCACCACCTCAAAGGGAGCAGTTGCTCCCTGCATGTTCTCCCAATTTTTGGATTATTTTCTCATGCAATGCTATTTGGTGGTAAAACTGTAGAACAGTGAGAATGTGACATGTCTGCACTGCTTATGGCACTTTTCCACTGCTGGTACGGCTCAGTACGGTTCGGTTCGGCGCGGCACGGTTCGTCTCGCTTCGCTTTTCCACTGTTGGTACGGCTCGGTACGGTTCGGCGCGGCACGGTTCGGCTCGCTTCGCTTTTCCACTGCTGGTACGGCTCGGTACGGTTCGGTTCAGCGCGTCACGGATCGGCTCGCTTCGCTTTTCCACTGTTGGTACGGCTCGGTACGGTTCGGCGCGGCACGGTTCGGCTCGCTTCGCTTTTCCACTGCTGGTACGACTCGGTACGGTTCGGCTCAGCGCGGCACGGATCGGCTCGCTTCGCTTTTCCACTGTGTGGTACGACTCGGCTCAGCACGGCACGGCTCGGTTTGCTTTAGCTCGGTTTGCTTTTCCACTGCAGTTAGTACCAGTAAGTGGGTGGTCTGACCGTTATAGTTTATCCGCTCCTCGGCAACCAACTAGAGGAACGTCTGCACTTCGTCTACTGACCAAGATTCAGCCATTTCTCTTTTGGAAGTTTTCTTTCTTTCTTTTTTCTTCAAGCAAGTCAAGCAAGTAGTTTTAAAACAGGTGCTACGGCGGTGGCTGTTACTGGGTATTTAAATCTAGCGGGTTTGATGTCTTGCAAACACAATGACGCTGGTAGTGACGATTCTATCTGACCAATCAGTGATCTGCAGTGTGTTCACGTCACATTTTAGTATCGGTATGGTACGCTTGGAACCTCGACAGAGGTGGTACCATTTAAAGCAAGGCGAAGCGAGCCGTACCGTACCGTACCATGCAGTGGAAAAGCGCCATTATATGCTTATTTCCCTGTAGAGGGAACCCATCAAGCTAACCTGCTGAAGAACCCAGCATAACCAGCATGAATGGCATGTTGGTCCAGGCTGGTTTATGATGGTTAGAGCTGGTCTAGCTGGTATGCAGCTGTTCTCAAGCAGAACTGAGCTGGCGTAGCTGGTTCACTAACACTCACGCTTCCCAATCTGCTCCCAGCATGCACAACATACCTTATTCTGGTGACCAGATATGCTGAAATTTTCAGCAGGGTACCCTCTTCTTTTTCCTCAATCCTTGAGTAGGTAGAGTAGCAGGTTGGTCCATCTACGGGGCAGCAGGATCCCACCCTGACTCAACAAGCATATGTGTTGCCTGTTGCCAACTACATAACAATTTGGCAAGGTGATGTGGGAGGGAATGATTGTGTCTTCCTTGGAAGAGCCTCGTCATCCCTTTTATTCCCCACACCTCTTCAGCATCAGCATCAAAGCTGTGCCAAAAATCCCCTCTGGGATCACTGGTGCATCCAGGATAGACTCTTTCTCTGTCTAAGACTGGGGAGATCAAGCCATGATCTCCTCTCCTGTATGACTACAAAGCTCTGGTCTTCTCCATGGCTCGGTCATGGCAGACACCTTTTCCCACAGTTTTGCCTGGTAAGTGAGCACTAAAATGGAGTTAGATGGACAGTAAATACATTAGAAGCTCATTTCAGTTATGCTTGACTGGAAAGTGCTTGACTGATTTTGATGGGAGTGTAGAGCTTGTGGCTTCCTTACTCCTGGGGTGTTGGTGAGGTGTCAATAAAAGCCCAAGTAGGAGAATCCCATTTACCCGGAGCACAGATCTCCTTGGATGGGTAATGGCTGGTGAAAGGCTTGTTTTTGCAAGTGACTGCAACCTCATCCAGGAGCTCTGGAAAAATAATTGTTTACAACCTGTTTTTCAGTCTGCAATTTTCCTTTCCTTTCATAGCGAGACTTTGCAGTTTCTGCTATGGTGGCAGCACTTTCACAAAACCTTATTTCCACAGAGGTCGAGCTGCAAAGGTTTTTCCCTGCTAGCCAGTGTTTTCTGAGTTGCCACAACCATTTACTTCAAACCAACTGAACTGGGAGTAAATTGGTGAAAAAGATCCAGTAATTTGGCTGGTTGTAGAAAACTACGTGTGGGAATGGAGTGACTCCTAGACACAAGCATCAATGGATTAGGGCAGGGGTGCCCAATCCTGCTCCTGCCGATCGACTGTCCTGCAGAGTTCATCTCCA